CCCCAAAACCCCAAAACCCCAAAACCCCAAAACCCCTAAAAAGAAGCATCTCATTGAAAATAAATTAATAGAAACTAATGGAGCATTCTGAACCAACGTATGCCATTGAGAAAGAGAAGGTCTGGAGAAGCACCCTCGAACAGGAAAGCTACGAATTTGCAGACGTCCAGCCTGCCATCAAGGAGATGACACATGATCAGATTAAGAAGGACAAGGTAGGTTTATGAGAATTTTTTTTAGGAAGAAAGCAAGATTGATCTGTCAGAAGCCAATGTTTTTAAGAGTTTCCCTGTTTCCACCATGAAATGGGTCACCAATAAGTTGTACTATATAGATAACAAATTTTACACCCTTATTGACTATGAAAAGAGCGAGGATGGAAAAATTATTAGTTGCAAGTTACTTAGTCACAAAGGGAAGGATGAAAAAGTACTGACTGATCCAGACGAAATATCTTTGCTTAGGGATTACATAAACATCAATCTCAGAATATACTCAGAAACTGGATCTGGACAGATGGCCTCTGTTCCTATTAAGCTTCAGAATAAGCTTTCTACTGAGCTTGGAGAACATGTAGAGGCTATCACAGGAATGTCCTTTGGTCTATTCAAGTTTTTCCGTGGATCTACCATCATTGATGGTGATAAATTTTTAAGTTCTTATCAAGATATTGAAGAAGATATGGAAATCATTGGAGCAGCAGGATTTTCAAAACCTTATAAGTTTATGAGATTTAAGAGTACATACGAGTGGCCTCATTGGGGTTATAACAGAAGTACAGTTGATGCAGCTTGCTGGATTCCTAATAAGAACGTTATCTTATATGGCTTTAGCGTCTACGCTGCCTGTGAACCTCAATTTAATCTTTCTTTCAAAGTTTATATCAACGATACTGTAGTAGAGGAAGGAGAAATGACTTGTTCAGATTATGAAGACAAGTACTTCTGCAGGTAAGAGGATTTGTAGAGCGATTTTGGGGAATTTTGAGGGGTAATGAGTTTTGTAGGATTATTCTGAAGAAGTTCCACTCTGTTAAGGCTAACTCGAAGTTGGAGATCACCGCTCAGTTGACGAGAGTTGGCAGTTCTGATAGTTATCTTGATTTTTACTATGGAGAGCAAGGAAGTATGTGGAGAGAGGTAGAGAATGATCACATGGACCTATGGACAGTCGAGTCCTCCTCGAAGAGCGGCAGTTCGAGTATTAGTTACGGAAATTTCCCAGAGATTATGTATTATGTATAAGATGTTCAAACTTTTGAGTACTCAACATTCAATTTGGATTGGGTTATTTGGGGTTTTGGGGTTTTGGGGTTTTGGGGTTTTGGGG